TCCTTTATGGAGGCACAACATTTCCCCTTCTCTTCAGTAAAAATAGGAGAGGAAGAAATAAAAACCTCAGCATGTCCCCGAAGAACTGTAGGAGATGGAAATTAAATCCATCCATTACACTCACCAAGCACAGTGCTGTCTGGGCAGGAACACCGGAGTTGTACACCTGCACATCCAAAGGAAGAAAAAATGGAATATTACAGAAGCGTCAGAGGCAATCCAGCACCCTACAGCAAAGTACTTCATGCCATAAACCAAACTCACATGACTTGGAAAAACAAAAAAGGAATGACACTAAATCAAGCTGAGCAGTACCACTGTTTGTCACAGCTGCAGCGGCTCTCCTCACCCCTGCATCGAAGGATCGCTCCACCCTTAGTTAAATTTTTGTCTGCTGCTGCTGCTCAGGCCTGGGTGTCAAGAACACTTCAGCATTTGTTGTGGGCAGCGGGGGCTGCAGGGAGCACGGGCTGTGGAGGAGAAACGTGTTCCCGACTTGCTACACTTTGTCCTGTGAGCCTGCCGGCAGCTGTGTTACCTCTGCCTGGCCTTCTCCCGCTCAGATTTGCTGTAGCATCTAGAAGCCACATTTTAAACCTTACTACATCTCTGCAAAACGCGCCAGTGAAACCTGCTTACCTGGAGTCGCCGGGAGCACGCCTGCTTCTCGCAGCCGGGGGATCCGGGAGCCGAGCCCTAGAGAAACAGGCAGAACCAGGCACCCCATAGCGCCGCAAAACCGACAGCAGCAAAGCTGTGCCCCCGAGCAGCCAGCCTCGGGTGGGCTTTGGGGCCGGCATCACTCAGGGCAGAGGGGGAAAGTGGGACAAACCACCCCCTCCCCACACTTTGGGGGAAAATCTTTTGTCCTCCCTTCCCCAGCTGGCCCTGGACAGTTTTACCCCCTCTCTCTTTGCTCTTGGCCACTCACAAAGAGAATTCGGGCTGCGGGCAGGGAAGCAGGTAAGTGAAGACACCTGCACCCCACACATTTGGCCGCTGACGAGGGGGGAGAGGGGGACTGGCAGCTGCCTGCAGCTCCCGGGCAGGAGGTATTTGGCTTTGTGCCGGTCCAGCCCCGCACGGCGGGCGATGGCTGCTGTTTGTTGTCAGCCAAATGCTGCATTCCCCCTGCTAAGAGGCTCCCCATGGGC